TGCTCAAGTATTTGCCTCCCTTTGAAAAGCTCCTTCCCTCTTCCCAATCTCTGCCCATCAAAATTCTATCACATCTTCCGAGGCTTCTCTTCTTTAGGCTTATCTTGATCCCTAAGTCAGGGTCATTTCCTGCTGCTTCTTCCTAAATCAGGGTCATCTCCCGCTGCTTCCCAGCACTGTTTGTACTTTCTTCTGACATTTATCTTACTCTAGTTGGGTATCTATCATAGGGAGTAAGGTCCTTGGAAACAGGTAGGTTCTCACCCACCTTCATTAGGCTGTGGTGAGCCCTGGTCAGGCCTGCCAAGCCCACCGTCCCAAGAACAGCCTGGCCTTCATTACACAACTCCAGCAGGCCCACACATGTGTGATGCTTACTCATCCTTTCGTAAGCTATGATGAAGCAAGAAGGAGCTGGCGTACATATCATACCAGGAACCTGGTTGTTAGGTCCAGGAAACAGATTGTGAAAGCAACGTTTTGCAAACATAAAGGATAACAATGCTATTGTTTAAGACTGGCTTACACTGGAATTGTAAGAGGCCTGGTGCCCCTCCATGAAGGGCTTCCTAAGAGCTGGCGGGACCGCATCTTGAAAAAGCAAAATACAACATCTCGAGCCAAACTCAGCAGACATCCCCTGGCCTTTTAACATAAGGTCTATCTCACTGTACCTTTGGCTCAAAATTGATAAAACTCTAACATTTACACATCAGGATTTTCATTTTTGCCAAACCTCTAGGCCAGTCCTCTGCATGTGGTATTATTCTCTCAGGATGGCCTCAAAATTGCCTAAATTTAAAGAATTATTGCATCCAACAGGACATCATCAAAATTACTGACACCTTGTATGAGACGGTGTAAATTTAAGACACAACTAATTGTCTATGAGCTAGCAACATACTCACATGACTGAGAAATGGGCATAGGACAGTGTAAAACATTTATTGAATTTATCACTTTATCTGAGGTTTCAATTTCCTCAACAACAAAAAGCAACAGGCAAAGCTGAGTTTTAATGCTGCAGCAAAGCCGGAGTTCAAACACCAGATCTTAGTTCCAAGTAGAGCAAAGGAGGGCTGTGACTTAGCCTCAGTTCTTTGTAGTGACGTCATCTTTATCACCAGGCAACCACAATAGGAAAATACACAATCCTTCTCCTCAAGGTTTTCATCGAAAGAATCCTAACGGTCTCAAGAAACAACCCTATCTGTCCAAGGTATCCATTATGCCACACTAAAATAAAATATTTAGCAGACATTTCTCTGCACTGAAGCCCATTTATACAAGACGAGCTTGAACTAAAAAGTCAACCTAGCAAGTCTATTTGCTCAGTTCTTACAATGGATCCTCCAAGGTTGACCCGTTAGGAGAAAGTCCTGTTCAAAATCATGAGTTGGGGGCGCCTGGGTGGCTCAGTGGGTTGAGCCTCTGCCTTCAGCTCAGGTCATGGTCTCAGGGTCCTGGGATCGAGCCCCGTATCGGGCTCTCTGCTCAGCAGGGAGCCTGCTTTCCCCTCTCTCTCTGTCTGTCTCTCTGCCTACTTGAGATCTCTCTTTCTGTGTCAAATAAATAAATAAAATCTTTAAAAAAAAAAAATCATGAGTTATGCATAATATTGGAGATATAAAGCCCTTGCCATTCTTCCTATATAGCATTCTTTCTTCTAATTATTAAAGCACTCCTTGCATGCTATAGGAAAATCTGGAGAATGGAGAAAAGTAAAGAAGAAAATAAAAATTCCCCATTTGCCTCAGCCCCATCACTATCTCCGGTACCTATTTAACTGTTCTGATCTCCTTCCCACTCCCTCTTTCTAGGCTCCTTGACATTCCTGTTGACAATCCAGCTGAAAAAGATAGACTCCGTAAACGCAGATGCTCAGTACATGCGAATGAAGGGATTACTTATTACTGATTTATTTTACTCAACTCTGAATCAAGCTTTGGTCATTCTTGCAAGGAATTTGGTTCATTTGCCAGATAGTATCCAAGCCAGATTTGTCATGTGTCTACTCTTTAAAACAAATATCACTGATTTTAAAAACTACTTTTTGAAAGCTTCAAGTAAAATCTAAAACCAAAAACAAACAAAAGAGATATAGTAAGCTAAAGGGAAGAGCCAAAAGATTTTTCAAAAAGAAAAGAAAAGAAACCTCAAGAATTTATCAAGTAGATGAGGAAGCTTTGGTTCCCACTTGTAAAATCAGATGACAGACTTAAGACAGTAGCCTGAGGAACATTTTAAACCTTGGGGCAAGTAGCTGCAAGGGAATTTTTTAAATTATACTGAAAAATTAAGTATATAGATATTAACGTAAATAAAATGGGTTAATTTCTCCAACTGGAGAAGACACAAACCATCTTGAATATACAGATGAAAGTGGTATCCCATGGGTGAACATTCATTCTCTCATAAGCACTGAGTTACCAAAGATGACACCCAACCCAATGTACAGAATAAGAGGAAAACAATGAAGAAGCCGTTGGTCTTTTTTGCACAAAAACTTAAATGGCCAAATAAGGACAAAGTGGCTAAAAGCAGAGACCAACAGAGAAGAAGCAGTTTTATCTGGAAATAAAATTACATATATATATATACACATATATTCATATGTACATGGGGTCAAAGGAGAACTGAGGGAGAAAAAACATTGGAAATATATAAACAAGCAAATGAATTAAATGTAAATTGTGGATACACACATTCTCAAAAACAAGAAAACTGGTCATTAGGAAAAAAAATCTTTCATTAGAAACACTGACACCAGAGGGGAGCGAAATTCCAGCTAAGAAAACAAGAGATGCTAACAGGAAAAAA